GAAAACGGAACTTTTCGAAAACGATGAAGTCACGATAATCATTTGATTTCCCTGAATTAATTTTCTTCAAGTACATATCCACAATGGCCGGTGGTTGTTGGGTTTTTAAATTCCTTCGGCGTAGTGTGCATGTGGATGGAAAACATTTGATGCGTTTTCATAGCCTGAAATCTCCGTTTTCAAATTTCTGCAGGCTTTCTCCAGTATATTTCTTTTTGTTAATTTATCGGGCAAGTAACAGTAGCCTCTTTAACAACAAGCCTTAAGTACCCACCTCTATTTTGCCATTGAACTATAAGACTGTGTTAGAAAACAGGAACATCGAAGCCCTAGGCTTATAAGTGTACTACCGTGCTGTGTTTTATGTGCTTAGAACTTTGTACTGAATTTTGATGAGGTTTATATAAGGTAGTTGATCATTTTCTTTTTGGTTGTAGTTGACTACTTGCTTTATTTTCCTAACCTCCATTTGAATTCCGTCCCCAAGTTGTTTCTTGTTGGAAAAATCGTCAAACACAGCGTCTTACAAGTTGGATCTTACAATTTTCCAGAACGAGTCGTTCATAGAGAGAGAATCAAATATTTGCAGGAAATGGTTGAGCCTGACAGACAGCTGAATTAGCCTGCTTATGAACTGCGATTTTCAGAATTTTGCGCATTTGCGTGGTCAGAAGAAAGTAAAATGTTTCTTTAAGCAAAATGCATGAAAAGTCATGAACTAAACTGGGACTAAAACCAACTGCACACTCGATTGCCCATGCACATGAATCTTTGTTCACTATTCAAACAAAAACGATTGAAAATTTTAATTTTCGCGTTTGCACGAAGTGAATTAAATCTTTCTATAGACGACACAATAGAACGATTTGCATGTTACATTGGCAGTGATAGGCTAAAGGCTTTTTTTGGGCGAAAAAATAACTATTGAATGTTTCTCCTTATGACTTGGGTTACGTGGCACGGCGAGTATTCTACAATCAATCTGTGTTATAAATCTGTTTCCGCTTTTTCGGAACTGGCCGAAAAAAAATTATCAGAGGTATTGTCTTTTTAAAAGAAAAAGCCCAAAAACATACACCGACAGCAAGTTATCGGCGTCAGCTGTAAATAATTCATTCGCGTGCTTTGTGAAATTTTAATCTCGCCAGAAAATAAAAATAACTTGAGCCTTAGAGATATGTCATTCGGCTTGTTGGGTAAAACATTAGTAATAAACTTTCCTCTTCTAATCCATAACTGACATTGTGACAATTACACAATGGCCAAAGAAGTAGTAACTTGTTTCTGTGTTGAACAAAAATCCTGCCGGACCTGATCGCGACTTAGGAGTGTTGTTGCAAAATACTGCGCCGATATCATCGATCAAAACAAAGAGAACAATATAAAGGAAACTGGTGGAGGATTTGGAGAATAAAACTGACTTACTCGTGAAAGCGCTCCACGTATTTATAATAAGTCGTTAGTTTTGCAAGGAGTTCAGGTTATTTTGTGGTTAAGCGCAAAAACGAAATTTCAATCAGAACAGAGAAAAGCACCTGTCTGCATTTTTTAAAAAGTGGGAGTATTGGCCTGAAAAGCAACAGGTGTTCTGACACATTTCTGGATTTGGTCTTCCGTAGTACTGAAAGCAATCATCCGGAATAAAGAAAACCTCGGCCTATTGTCCGCAAGTGCTGTTGTTTTAGAAAATAACGATCTGTTTATTTCAGGGATTTTTTTCTGCTCTGAAAACGGGTACATTTCCTTTGCTAAGCGGGTCAGGTTTTTCGGTTTGATTGTTAGGAAGTAAGAGAGGGTTTCAATATAAGAGTTCATTTCTTTTTTAGTCAAGAAATAAATCAAGGCCTTAACAATTAGACATTTAAAGCCGAAGCTTAATGAGCCCTCATTCAACAAAAGCTCGCATGAAATTACGTGACGTGTCACTTCCCGTTTTCCCGTTGCGCGACTCTTCATCCGGGAGACCTCGTTACCCATTGAAATGAACAAAGAAAGCCAAACTGATGCGTGTCAGGTGGTCACACAAGCCCCACCCCCTTGTCACGACATGCAATGTAAATAGGGCTAATCTGCGCTGTACATTAGGAAACACTTTGCATGTTGGCGGAGGACGTGGAAGTCAGTTATAAAAGGAGCTGATCTCATTGTTTTGGGTGGGAACTGAACTTTCAAGATGCCCCACTCAAAGGCGCAAAAACAGAAAGTTCGGGTAAGCATGAGCGAAGACACTTCTTCGGACCACGAGGACGGGGAAAGAGAACACTTTATCGCGTGTTGTCTACCAAAAGGATGTCCTTTAAAAAGCTCCGTCGATTTGCCGACCTCTGTTCGGGTTATTTGCAACAATGACGCCTGCCAACAGAGCGGCTACATGCACGTCGAATGTTTTGACGATTTCGAAGAGGAAATTCTCGCGTATTTACGAGGAACTGGACGAGCGCGTAGCTGGTCAGAGAAACAGAGAAGGCAGAACATATGGACAAAGAAGGGCTACGACTTGGCCTACAAGTGCTGTGCCTGCCAGTGCGGAAAAGGACATTTGAGAAAGGATCTTGAGTTTCAACCGCCAAAGCCCGAAGAAGTGGGCCAATTGCATTTGCAAAACCAGATAAAAGGCAAACGAAAGAAAAAGAAAGGCAACGAGAAACCATCTGTTAACGTTTCGACGACGAGCAGACCTCGCAGAAGTTCCCAATCGTCTAACTGTAGTCAGTTATCTGAGTCACCACCTGAACGATCGCCGATCTCACCGCTCCCAAAAACTCCCACCAAGAAAACGAGAGCGAATTCGCATGAAAATAACTGTCACTTCTTCGGCGAGGCGTTCGCCAGTGTCAATAATTCGAACGTACTTGCTACGCACGCGAATGTGTTGAGTAACTTTTTGAAAAGAGCGGACTTCAGCTCGTTTCAAGGCGTTTTACCTAAGCACAAAGTGAACCCTTATCATATTAAAATGGAGGATGAGGTGAACGACGAGGCGCGTCATTTTGTACTCTCGAATCTCTCTTCTCGCATGACCTGCACAGCGAGCTGCGTGCTCTGCAGCCGAGAGCTGCCCGTTTTCGATAAATACCCTCTTATCGACGGAACGTTCTTTCTTTCACCGAGACAGCTAAACCCGACCTGCATGGATGTGTCACAAAACGGTAAAGCGCAGTACCTGACAGCGGTGTGCGTGCAATGTTTGGAGGGCATTCCCAATCGCGTCAAGTGCAAACTCTGCAACAAAGAATGGGACGGCTCTTCACATCAACTTGGCACCATGTACTGTTACGACATCTTCGCCGCCTCGCCTTGCTGTCAACAGAGGGTGGCTTGTCATTCTTGTGGCAAACCTGTCGTGGATTTGAACGAGGGCATGAAATTCTTCTGGGAGTATTCACAGTCGATGAAGTGCCCTCATTGCGGTGTTTCAGGCTTTCACTGTATTAAGTCGATCTCGTATTATGAAGTCCCCGACGTAATACGCTAGTCAGGTCATAGATTTGGCAGAAGTTGCAGTATTGCGAATAACCGGCATTTTGATCATCCTGGGCGGCCATGCATGTCAATTGAAAGATTCTTCAAGTATACACAACGTTTAGGTGTGGCTAATGGTAATGATCAATAAGTCTCAATGTTGGCTCAAAAAGAAAAAATAAACCATTTGGGCCAGGTAAAATTGGCATTTTGAAGCAATGTATTGTGTCTTGTACAATATGATAATTGTCGCTCTAATACAGATAATTGTGAGAATGAGCAATTTCATTCTGACACAAGCTTGCCAATTTTTGAAGACATCAACATTGAAATTCTCTGACAAGAAACTTAAAATGCACCCTGGCCAATTCATTGCGCCTTGCCACTCCAGGATTGGGGAGGGGTTCCACAACTGTCACAAGCCGTATCACATACATTTCTTCTTTAGCAGTTCTTAGAACAAATTACAATACTGTCAATAATGACCAATTTATTTATTTTGAGCACTTAGAGTAAGTTGGCAGTCTTTTCCATTTAATTTTTGTTCTAGAATAAACTGTTTCGGAATAATTTCTCAATTTTTTAAAAACAGGTCTTTTAATAATTATAAAATGCCCTGCATTTAATTATTTTCACATGAAGCATCAGCTTAAACAGGATTTCAAATCAAGGGGCAATTTATTACTTGTAAATATGATCATTTTTGTGACTGTACATGGTGCATTGATCCATTAGGCAGCCTAAAATCTATGACAAAATATTCTGTCATTTTTATTTCTTATTTGCCCAATGTGGCTGCCTTTCACCTGTGATGAGAAAGCATGCAAATGATGGCCAAGAATGGCATAAGAGACAATAGAACAAGTTCCAAACAGGTACACAAACACAATTTTATCATATGAACTCTAATCCATTTCACCTCACAAAACCCTGAACAGTGAGAAAAAGTAAGCAAATATACATAGCAAACTATCAGATAGACAGAGATCATTGTGAAGTTTGTTCGATTTAATTTTCCTAAAGAACAGAAAGTAACTTACTGAACCTGTTAACCATTAGTGAGAGATTAATCAACAAGCCCTTGTAATTTGCATGCAGCAAGCGAGCTAGCTTACATGAAAGTTGCTCTTCTGTTACTGTGACTTCTCTAAAAATAATGAGTGCATAATGCAGTATTTTTATGGCTAGAGCTGGCTAAGATATAATGCATGTTG